TTGGATCATCACCTCGCAAGGTGTGAGATAAAGCTGAGCTCTAAAGGAGTTGACAGCGTTCATCGCCGCGCCGTAGGTGTTCAGCCACCTTGCAGTGCTCGGTTATCATTTGCTTTATTGTGTGATGTGTGTATCGCTCTGTGCTTGCAACAGCCCAGATTTTTGAAATGGAAGCACCTGATGTTCATAACAGCAACGAGAGAGCAAAACAAATGCCTGAATACCCAAACCTCCATGTCAGCCAACGCATGTGCTACTGGAAGCTTTCTCTGTGATGTTGGGTTTAGTTGACAGAAATATTCTCAGAAACACAAATTTGTGAGCTCCGTGTGCAGCAATCACAGAGCCAGTGTTTTCCATGTGCTAAGAGCAGCTCTGTGATGGCTGCAATCTTGGCCAAAACACTGGGGTTGAACTGGAACTAAAGCTAAAAGCCCAGTTTGCTCCGGTGCAAATCAAAGGTCTCTATTCGAATAAACTCTGGCTACGTTATGGAATCAAGGTTTGAGTACAGATGGTTACAGAAGCATGCAGATATGAACCTACAAGCTTTGAAATGCCTTCCTGGGGTTGTATTAGTTTCTGCAACATAAGCGTTGCCGGTGCAACGGCACTTAGTGTAAGACTTTGCCTAGTTGGGAATGACTTTGGGTATAAGCACATAACGGATGCTAGAGCCGAACCTTTACTATACGATAGGCCACATGGTTTTCATAATGGAATAACACAAGCAATTAATTTTGTAGTGTGCTAATAAGTTAAGCCTGAGATGTTTATAAATCAGGTAACAAAGGCACTTTATACTAAGATTTCTGTGCCAGATATCGGTGAAATCAGGCTGTGACTTTCAAGATATTTGAAAAGTTTGTGTTCAACAACATTGGGCATTTTTGACACTGTAGTATGGGTGTGATATATTTATACTCATGGAATGAAACACCCTGCTTATATTCCACAGTTTTTAGCCAGTGGAAATAGTTTACAAAGGTGTGAGTAACTACCGGACAGTTTGGAGAGGGACTCTTTCCATGGGATGAAATATCTCAAGTCTATTGTTTGTTTTGCTATTACCAGCTGAGAAATTGCACTGCTGACAATAGATGCCAGGGAGCTTATCTGACTACAGTAATAAGTAAGTTTAAACTTTGTCTTGCTGCTAGCACTCTGAAGATATCTACCATAATACATTTAATAACTTTCACATTATTATTTATTGTGATGAACTCTATTTAACTCGCCTATTTTTAATCTAATAGCCCATGCACAAATCATCCAGTGCATATTCTGTAGCGCGTTATGAAAAAAAAATCCCATCCATTTGATTTTTTGTTAACGTGGAATGTATATTTTCAATCCATGGAATAAAATATTTGAACAGAGGAAAAGGCCCAACTTACTGAATAATATTATCCATTGCAAATTACTTTTTCACCTCTCATCAGCATTATAACTTATCTCAGAGTGGAATGGAAGGCGGGTATTAATATTCAAAACCAACACAGGGTATTAGATATTACATATCACTGTACAGAAGATCCAGAAATAGATGATTTACTTTAAAGGGGATAATCAAAGAAAGCTAATCAAAAAGCTAATCAAAAAGAATATTTAAAGTTCCCTTGATCATGATCCATAGGTACATACACAGGGAGAAGATAACAAGTACCAAAGGATCTTTTAGCTTTCAGAAATAAATGCACAGTATGAATTGCTGGAAGTTTGAACTGGACAAGTAAGATCCCAGTTTGTAAACTGGGGGAGAAACAGAGGACAACCACGCAACAAATCATCTGTTAGATGGGTTATGCTAAATATTCTCCTATTAAACTGTTTCAGTGGGGATTGGGTAATTTTCTCAAAACCAGTCTCCGCTTTCCTCTTTCAGCACCAATGCAGGAAGGTAAGGGTGCGATTCCGTAGTGGTTTTATGCAGGAAGTCAGATAATTCATCAATATGAGCCCATCTGGCCTTAAGAACCTGACAGCACAAACCTTGCAGTGTGCCTAACAGAAGGTACAGTCGCATGGAACAGATTACTGCTGAAGAGGAGGAAATATGTAAAAGTTAATAATGAGGAGGGGAGAGATTTGAGGATGTTTTAAGAAGAGTTTAGAAGAAAGAGAACTCCTGGCAGTTGATGTCAGGGATAGAAGAAGTTCAAAGGAAAGTATAAAACCAAAATCAGGAGAAGAAAACCAAAGGAGATACAAGATAAAGAGTGCTCTGAGCATGAGGAATAGATCAGGAGAGAAAAAACAGTGATTTAGAAGTAGGATAAATAATAAAGAGCTTTGCAGATGTGAATTAAGGGCCTGATTTTTTTGCAGTAAAGACATCAGCTGAAGGATTCGAGTGGTCTGTATAATGATTTGAGGCCATGAAAGAAATAGAAGACAGGCTGTGAGGAGGAAGTTTCCAGCAGTTAAAAGAATTATGAAAAGAAGAAACAAAAGTAGTCAATGACACACCATAAGATTATATACATGACCCACTGATCAAAGCAAAGAGTGACATACCTAATCTAAAAATCTTTCTTCACAGAGGTAAAAAACAAACCGTCCTGTTCACCATCTATTCCCTTCCTCCTCAGAAAATTTTGCTCACGGTTGTGAGCCAACGCTAGCGAGTTCTGGGGCAGAGGAGTAGTTAGCGAGAAAAGCGTGCATCAATAGCTGTTGCTTTGGTTACAAAGGCACATGAGCATGTATAGTCGTGACAAGTTATTTTCAGCTTTACACTGTGAAATAGAGAGAATATTAATAAAAAAGATTATGTTACCTCTGCTCGGTCTCTCTGCGGTGGAAAGTCCCAGTGCAGTGTCACATGCTACATCATCTTGCATAATTGTTGCCATGTGCTCTAACGACATTGAAGTCACCCTTGATGCTGAGCGCACAGAACTCATCAGCTCGGGAAGGAAAAGGTTGTTACTGGTGCTGGGGATATATCTTCAGGAACAGCGTTTCTTAAGTGCGAGCTATTAACTTGAGTGGGAGTGGTACTGGGCACCCAGCTGCCTCTACTGCGTGTGTGTCAGCATATAGATACTGCTGAATCCTTAGCCGAGCCCACGCTAAGGCATATGCACAAAAGGCACAAAATTGCAGAGCAATCTCTGTCTCCCAGCGAAAATCAAGCTCGGTGGGGGATCAAGCAAATGGTTAGTTCTCTACTGACATTTCAAAGCTGCTGCAGACAAAGATGACAGCAGCTCAGGTTCAGGCGAAAGGCAGAGAAGGAGTGGGAATGGGGCACAAACAGCATGGTGGTGCCTCTTGGTACCACCGGGGTCCAGGGACGCCCAAGCACGAACTCTCCATCAGGAAGAGGAATGAGCTGTGAGCTCTGGACTGAAGCAGAGATGAAGCAGAGTCCTACCACGGCCAAAATAATTTTGTATGATGATACTAATATTGTATGATGACGCTAGTGGCTGGAGGCGGTTCAGTAGCCCCACTTCTGGTCTGGTTCATTCCCACCTTAGCCCAACCACAGCTTCTGATTTAGACTCCATGAGGAGGCATCGTGATGAATCTTGTCCTTCATGCCATTTTTACGGCCCTGTTACATGGCAGGGCAGTCTGAACCTCTGGGGGAGAGGACAGCTATGACAGCTCCTCCTTTAAAGGTTTATTCTTTGAAGCTTCATGTCCATGACATCAAGAAGGGAAGTCAATGGATACCAGTGTTAAGAGACAAAAAAAGACATTCCATTGGAAGAAATGACCCCTTCATAAAACCTGTTTGTGAACTCAAGATTTTAAACGAGTCTGACCCAGTGGGGAAAAAAATCAAACTGTTCTGTACAGAAGAAATTCTCTGCTGGAAAGCGTATAAGAAAGTTCACAGGCACTGCAAACACTAGCCCAGTGGGTAATTCTCTGAATGAGATGCACTTTGCACTCACAGCGGCACTGAAATTCAGCAGCTCCCGGGACTGAGATTTATTCCATTTTACCAATAAGAATGCAACTAATAATAGTTTTAAAAAAGGAAGAGTTTACCATGTGAGTGAAGGTAAAAGACCAGATTCTGATCTTTATTACTCTGGCTTATGTCAGACATTTTTTGCACCACTTCATCTAAAGTACAGATGTCACAGATGTTCTCACAGAATAAACCCCAAATAAATGGGATCAGAATAAGACTCTGAAATTTTATCACAAGAGACATATATTGTTCCTGGTATCGTTAAATTTGTGGTATGGACAAGGAGGACGTGAGGGCCAGGTCCACTCTGGGTCTTCCACCGCCTGAGACCCAAACACTGCACTCCCTCTGAAATGCACATTGGTTACATTGAACCCGGGGGGTGAAGGCTGGGACACCACTGGTAGTGATAAGCTCCAGCAGCAATAAGCCTCTCCCAGCAAAGGATCTATTATCCATTCGCCTCCAAGTCTGTGTGAGAGCTCTTCTCAGAGCAGAAAGGGGTACCCTTAAACTTAAATTTGTGCTGATGCGGCTGAACAGCCATCTCAAATAAGTATCACTCAAGAGACGAGTCTCATTGAAGTCAATGGTCTACTCTCCACAGAAGTAATCTTTGTAGACTGGGGTCTTACCTAGCCATCCTTCACAGAGCACTTTAGGTTCCTCTGGGACCATTTGTTACAGTCATTTTTTCCTCCCCTTCCGGTTGAAGAGTTTGGAAAGGTGTCAGAGGATTAGTATCATGCAAATTGCAAAAGGAAAGTGTCACTAAGGTAGGAAGACTTCACAAAAAAATAGCTTAGGGGACTACACAGTATCCAGAATTAAATTTTATAGCAGTCCATAAAATTGAAGTATGAGCCAAGGGTTAACAACCTTGAATTTTGCCCTTAAAATTAGTCCAAGAAAATCTACTTCATTATAAATACGGTAGTACTATATAGTGTCCTGTTGATTGATATGCCCAAGAGCTACCTTTGTCGGCAGTCTTTTAAGCAGTAATCCTTCATTTTGGTCTTAATAGTGAGATGGGCACCTCCTTCCTCATTGGGCTATCAATTTTTACCTGCCAATACAGTTTGATGAGCTTGCTCGTACGCTGCTCAGTGCCCCCTGTCAGCCAGTACATATAGTCAGCAATCATGGCGCTCCTGATGACAAAAGCAGAATAAATGAGTGTACAGGGAGAGAAGGATGCATACAGCGATACTTAAAGGAGGTAATATTAAAAGAGGGTAACAGGAGGTTTGTATCAAAAGATTACACAGGACTCTCAGTCTTTGTCCAACTTTAAGACAAACATTGGTAAACATTTTTAGCTAACTAAACTATCTGCAAGCGAACAAGGCTGCGTTTTCTTTTAATAGCTTTCCCATATTTTAGTCTGAGCACATATTTAATGACTGCTAGACAAAATTTTAGTCTGGCTTTTCTTTTTTTTTTTTTTTTTTCCCTTTAAAGTATTTGTGCGTGAAATGTCTTACATGTGAGTACATTTCTTTTAGGACAGCTTCAACACATATAACGCCCTGTCACTCGGCAGTCTGAGAACATCACTTGCCTATGGCAAACTCAGACATAGTTCACCTTTGATTAAACTATATCTTAAAAAAAACCACCCTAAACCAAAAGTAATCAGCTATCTTGCTACCTAATTGAGTATGCTTTAGTACTCCCACTGTCTGTGACAATCATTGCATTACTCTTTCTAGACTGAGGGATATTAAGAAACTATTGTGCAATGGATATTAATGCAGAGTCTTCACAGACTTGAGAAAATCAGTTTGCTTTTATGGCTGCCTTTCCACATTGCTCTTCGTTTCCTTTCCTCTAGAGATTCCAAATCCAATTAAATGTGACTAGATGTAATTCCAAATTGTCACTTTAGTCAATTAAACATATAATAATCTTGTGTACCTAATTACTAGCACCAAAAGTTTATTTGTTGATGTAGTGCTATCAATGTGTACTTCTGCATGTTCTCCTTATCATTGCCTATATATTAATTGTGCTTTGACATTACTGTAAATTGAATTTGAAATTTCCCCCTAGTTAAAAGTGTCTCACAAACAGTAATCCCAATCCTGTTGTAATACCCTTTCAGAATGTACTTTCCAAGACGGTATTATGTTCTTAATGAGATATAACCCAAAATACATGGATTTAACAATAAACATTTCAAAACAGGCCCAGTATCAGGAGGTAACATATTGTTACAAACAGGAACTAAATCTTCCCTTAGATGTTCTTGTACAGCTCCCATTAATTTCACTGGGAGAGAAGCAATTCAGTAGGATCCATGGATTTCTGCATAAGGACTGGATTTAGCCATAAGCTTTATCCAATGCTCATTTAAATCATTGGCAAAAATCCTCTTGACTAGACTAGAACAAAGAGCAGTTTCTAATTGAACATCGTTAGCCCAGCCGGCACAGGATGAACAAAGGATGAAATCCTCATTGCCCTGAAAATCACTGGCGAAACTCTCATTGACTCCAGATGGTGCCAGGGTTTAATCCCAGGAATGACATGCGGATCCTGTGGATGAAGCAGAGGTGAGCAAAGCATCCAGCAGTGTCTGCTTGACCCACTGCTGGTGATGGTTTTGGGGAAAGATGTTCACTGTGTCCTGTGGTGTGAAATAATCACGTGACATAAAAATGGGGGAAGTCAAATCTGTCATGTTATTCTGCACTTTTGGTGTGGTAGAGGTGGTCTACAGAGCTTCCAGCTCCCGTGACAATGGCAATGCTGGTCCCTAGCAGCATACATGAGCGGTGGTGGCCTCCTGTGGCCATCTCATCAGAAAGGGACTTTCAATCTAAATTTAGAGCAATTCTTGAGCACTAAAGCCTTGTTGATTCTGGAGTCAAAGGACATTTGCAAGTGGTCATTTACAATTTGGGCTCCTAGAGATATATCACCCCCATAACTGCTGTCATTTCAAAGATTAAAACTGGCAAATCCTTAACCCCGAGAATCACCCTGTCGGTGCCTGTCACTGTGGGAGCGCTGCCGTGGGTCGGGCACAGTCAGATGACACAGAGACAGCCACAGCGTGCTTTGCCATCCCTACTGCAGGCTGTGGACCAGAGAAGCAAGGCTCCGTCCCACCAGCAGCATAACACGGCATCTAATTTATGACCTCCCACTCCATGGTGGGAGGCAACACTTTCTTCACCCAGCGTGGCACTGTTTTCAAAGGTGGAGATGTGCACAAAACCCTGGACAAATCTGGAATCAATTCTCAGACAAGTCGCTCCATCTTTCTCTGTTTCTCAGCATCAGCTGTAAAATGCGGATGATCATATTTGAATGATTTACTTATTTGGTGTGTGAGTCCTCCTGGCACAATCTTTTGCTAATTCTTCACAGCGCTCTCAGCACAATGTCGCTCTGATCGCGGCAGAGGTCTCCAGACATCGCTGCACTCCAGACAAACGCCTTTGCTCTTTGTTCTTCCTTCTTAATTTGTTCTTATTTCAATAATCAGAAGCACACTTAGATTTCAAGCATTCGTGTTTAGTTTTTCAACATCTGCTTTTACCCCTGCTAGATTTCTCCCATGCAGCCGTGCATCACATCAGGAATGGCGAGGCACATACATAAAACCCCGCCGAGCCTTTCAAGTGCCTCCATCACAATTTTACTTCTCAGTTCCTCAGCCGTCGGGGAGCACGCACAGGTCAGGACCGACGCTTGCTACTGTGACCTCGGGGCTTACCAGGGACTTAAAAATTCCACTTTCAAAAAGAAACGCAAGCATTAAGGCTCCATGTGGATGGCCTATGTCCAGCCTCAAATGTGCTCAAGTCAGAGAGTTTTCTTTGAAGGCCTCCAAGGCTCAATTCACAGAACCAAAATGACACATGGAAGAGGGACGCAGGTGAAATTACGCTGTCTGAATATGGTTACAGGACTGGGCATTGGAAAATATTTAGGGGTCTAAACACTCAGAAACCAAAGGACTGGTTGAGATATCTAGGCAGGTTAAAAGCCCGGTTCCCACTGAAACACATGAAGGCATAAAACACCGCGCTGGGCTCCTGACTCCCAGAGAGTACCAATCCACGCGGGCTATAGAAATCCACATAACAAAGACGTTCAGTAAGAGACTGATGAGCCTGGGAGACATGCTGAAATGAGACTTAAGTAAAATATTATTGAAAGAAATACTATTTATGAAATTATTATTTAAGATCCTCAGCCAGTGACCAAACTCATTAACATCTTTTTCTCTCATCATGTTATCAACACGGCTGATGTATGAAGTATATCATATTAGCATATTATATATACTATATATGACTTAGGATAGTATATACACAACCATATAAGCGTTTCAACGGTACGTAAGGGCCAGAGTAGGTCCTTCTTCCCACCTCCTGCAGCCATGGGTCCTGGGGAAACGAGAGCTTGCGAAGAGCTGGATTGAAGAGGTTTCAGTTCAGGTCAGTGGGGACCAGAGGTTATGTCATGTGGAGATGCTGGACAAGTGACGTTGGCCAGCAACAGGCCTCACTTGGATTTGTGCCTCTAGAGCCAACTAGAGTTCAACTTTGAACCTTCCTGAGCAGAAGGAACATACGGTACAAAAGAATGGGAAAATACCTCCCATTTATACCATGGAATGCATTTTTCTGGAGGAAATGATGTGGTTTACTTTTACAGTTTTTAAAGATATTGGGATTAAACTCTAATGGTAAAGAACAAAGATACCTTCATTCTCTTCCTACTCCTGACACAATTGCTTCAGGTGATATTTAGAAATATTGGCCTTATATTTGCAGAACCACCTGCAAGTGCTGAGTTACTAATTTGAAACACTTAAACCATGCCTGAGCTTCAGGTGTTGCAGCCCACAAAGAGCTCTGTTTGATTTGAGAACTGAAGTAGTTCTGACAACACACCTTAGGGGATGTCGGAGAAAACGTGACACTTCCTTCTCTCAAAACATGAGGCTTTATATTCAAAACTTCCTCCCCCCCCTAGTTGCTAGTTTGGGCCAATATGAACTTCCATAACATAACCAAACCCATCTGGGTTAATTTAGTAAGCCTGGATCCAAAGGCGTCTCGCAATATCTGCTCAATCTGGCCACTTGGTGGTGCAGAACAATAAGATATATTTCTATATGTGCAAGCGAAGAGCACACCACAGATCCTAAACTGTTTCCCTCAGCCCATCTCCAGACATGCCCAGGACTTGGAATGAAAGAGTCGAAGGTGGCTTTTGCTGCATGACAGCTGCTGACACTAAGAGCCAGCGCACAGCCAAACCCTTCGCAGCAGCCACGCGAGTCGGTGACAAGAAAATGGATGGTATGGGTGTGAGAAACATGCAGAGTTTTCTGGAATGAACCAAAGTGTTACAATTTGCCAAAGAAGATGGGAAATTAGCATTGTTGCTAAACGCTTGTGTGTTCATTTACTACTGTGAGTGCTAGAAAAAAATAGAAGGGCAAGACTCAAGGTCAGCTCCTTCAGCCTTGCCTGCTCCCCTTGAGCAGCAGAGAAAGGAACGAAGCCCTGAAGGGAAGAATTTCTCCGCAGATGGCAGAGCCTTAGGAATAATCACAGCCTATGCACATTAGAGTAACTTTCCCTCTTCTACACTATTCAGCCCCAATTGCTGCTAAGATCAGGAGGCTGATAAGTGGCAGAAAATTAGCTTTGCTCCCTACTTCAAGTGATCTCACCTGGATCTGTAGTAAGTGGTGCTAAGAGAAGGCTTCAGCCATTGCCATGGGATGTTGGCCCTGTGCAGATCCATTGCTTGGAAAGGGTAAGTGTATCTCTATTTTTTCAGTTTAACAGGGACTTTAATATTCCTGATGCAAACACCTGGGTACTTGAGATGTCTAATACAGTAGTACTGAGTCTGAGATACACGATGCAAAATAAACTGCTGCTCTCTTTTGGATCACCTTACTTGTTTTCTTCTGAGATTGGGAAAGGAAAACGGTGTTTATAACTGGAGTAAGTAGGAGGTAGTCATTTTAATGCAATTATCCTATTTGAAAAGTGAACAAAATAATAACAGTTAATTTTTAAACATCTCCATATATCCTAAACAAATGTAAACTTGTTACTTAGAGATTATGAAGACACTTGGAAACCATTAGATTGTTGAGAGACCATTAGATGATGAG